GCAAGATACCGCAGATGACACACGGAAAAGCGCACGAAATGAGACTTTAATTATAATAATAATTAATAATAATAATAATAAAGTAGGCCAGTCCACAGTAGACTATAAGGAATCAAAGCCCCGAGAAATCCTGTTGTTGTGCTTAGTCCATCTATATATATTTTTGAATTTTTTGATTCTTGTTTACTTTCGGTTATTTTTTCACCTCTCCTGGCTATTTATTTGTTTGGTATGAATAGATGTTTTAAATAATATGAACCGGACCTTCAAGAGCCTTAAATAGTTTGTTTCTTGGATAATTTATTATTACCATGTGAACTGTGCTCACAGGGGAGAGTATTTTGTGAGGCCAAGCGACCTGCTCAGAGGCTATTTTTCTACACGTCCCTCGTCCTGACTTTCAGAAAGCAAAATTCTCTGCTCTCCACTTCTGCTTTGCAACGCTCCTGCTTGTCGGCAAGTGTAAACTGAAACGTGCTTCGTGGGGGTCCACAAATTATATTTTTATACACAGAATTGTAAATTAGATTTTTGAGAGCTCAATACTTAACTGAATTACATTTCATTTTTGAAATAGTGTAAAATATGAAAATATATTATTTTAATTTAACTAGTTGCCATTGTAACAGTCATCTCCTGTATCATCTTCTTGGTTTAATGTTGGCTTTGTCATCACCATTTTGGCCATATTCTTGGAAGTCAAGACTGTTACACACTCACATACACACTTTTTTTTTCTTGGACAAACGGGAAGACCTCTGTTATTTTTAACTTCAAAGAATTTATTAGAAAATAATATTTTTTAAAAGTGCACATAGTGAAGAGCGCACGAGGATGGAGCCTGTAGTTTGTACAGAGAAAAACAAAGGATGTTTTTGCATTAATAAATTGAGAAATAACTGCTGTAAATTTACTAAAATATATTTTTGAATATTTTGTAATAGTTTTATAGAAATAAAATGTGCCACGCACAGACCGGTTAGTATATGATAACTGAGAATTCCTGTTGCAGCCCCGTTTTCTTTCCTTTTTTTTTTTTTTGGCTTCTTTGTTTGGGAAACCTAGTGCTGACAGGAGTTCCCAGTATTATATTTAGATGTGTTGCTTATACTGTGAATTCAGATCAACGTACATAGGGAACCAAAGTAGGGA